TCCTTGCATATCATTGGCATGGATCATAGATTTTAGCATATCTATACATGGCCTGAAATAATGTAGGCCAATAATAGCTAATTTTAAGGATTTTTTGGCCAATTAAGGTTCTTAAAAAGTGACCCCAACATATACTATTGTGATATGTCCATAGAATGGTAGGAATTTTATCATCTATCATACATCTCCTTAATATTCTATTAAATCTTTATCTATATAATTTGTCCTTAATTATGATAAAGTATTTATTATTGATTTTTACCTTTATATGTTTTATTTTAGAAAGATGAAAAAAAAGACCTGATTTGTCAAAAACTTGATAATTAATTCATATCAAGTAGGAGTAGTTGAAACAACAAACAAGATTTTACCTATCAAGGTGTCATCAATTGGAGCTTAACCAATTTGTTTTAACAACCTAAATAAATGATTTACTTACTTGTGCATCTTATTTTTAAGACTATATTCTATTGTATAATTGAATTCTACTAATAGAAGCTTCCATATTATAAGTCTACCTTTCAAATCAATCTTATTAACAAGGTATTTGATTGCCATGTGGTCTACAAAAAGTACTATTAGATTTAAGAGAAGATAGTGCCTAAACTTCTTGATGGAAAAAACCATGGCAAGGCATTTCCATTTGGTGGTAGTATAATCCTTTTCTACAAGATTCAATTTCCTACTAAAAAAAGATATAGGATAGTCCTTGCCTTTTTTCTACTTGCTTGATACAATGTGCTTCTTACTACCACCAACAAAGTGTCATAAAGCATATAGAAGGATAATAATCAATTGGGTGGTCTTAAAATTGGAAAAGAGCTAAGTTTTATTTCAAGAGTATCAAATGCATCTTGGCATCTACTCAAACTTCATTTCTTTTTGTATTAGTTGAGTTATGAGTATAGAAAGTATAGCATAGTCTTTTATAACTTTCTAATACTATCCAACATGTCCTATGGTTCTTTGCATCTCTTTTATCATTGAAGAAGGACTTAATTCCATAATTATCTTGACTTTTTTTGGATTAAGTTCCCTACCTTTTTTTGACACTACATATTCTAATAGGACTCATCTTTTAATTGCTAGGAATATTATGTGAAGGTTCAAAGCAAACTTAGCTTTTCTATACCTTTAGAAACTAGCTTTTATACAATCATGAAGTATTGTCTTAGAAGATTGGATGCTAAAATCATTAATGAATATTATCATTGATTTGTATAGTAGATCTAAGAAGACATATGACATTGCTCTTTGAAATAGTGTAGGAGAATTGTAAAATCCAAAAAGAATAATCACATAGATGAAGGTGCGTCAAGGTATAGTAAAAGCAATTTTATGGTGGTTCTCTTAGGCTATGCATATTTGATTATATCCCAAATATCCATCCATAAATGAATAAAGTTCATGACTTGTCACTTCTTTTAAAATGATATTAATAAATAGCAAAAAAAAAAATCCTTTTGAGTATACTTATTAAATTTTATATAATATATGTATATTTAAAATTTTCTATTCTTCTTTTTTACTAATACTATAGGAGAAATCTAATCTGTGAGCTATATAAGTTGAATAGATCCAATTTAGAAGAGTTTTTCTAATTTTTCCTTGATAATTAATTGAAGATTAAAATTCATTCTTCTTTCTTTTTATTTCATAGGAATTGAATTGAAAAGGAGAGGAATTCTATATTGAACTATTTCCAAATGTATGTTCTTAAGATCTTTGTAAGATCAAGAAAATATATCCTTATACTCCATAATTAATGATTTATAACTTATCAATTCTTCCTCTATCAATTGAATCTCTACTTTTATGAGTTTTGGATCCTCACTTTCCAAAGATACATCCATTAATTTTTAATTGAGGTTAAGTATATGATATTGCTTTGTGGATCCTTTATACTAATCATTTGGTATTTGTGGATAAATAACCATGTCATTTTTGGCAATAAGATGACTAGAAGTTTGTTTAAATTGTAGGAGAGAAATTAAGGTCAAATTCTTCAATCATATCCTCTAATTCTTAACTTTGAATGTTGTTAAAGTTCACCTCAAAGATATCTTTAATTTTAATGTCATCAACTAAGGTAGCTAAATCTACCTCTATTATATTGTTTTATCAAGTAGCAAAATCTTCTATAAAGTTGATATTTATTACTTCATAAGTATTTGAAGTAGGATGTTTTGTTAACCATTAGATGAATTCTCTATCATCCTCTCAATTATATAATCTGAGGCCTATACAACTTAGTAGGGTAGGTTTGACTATATTAGATTGAGTCAATTCATTTCTCCCTAAATTAACAAATCTTACTTTCTTTTTAAATTTTTGCTTAGATTAAAGAATATATGTTTCATTGTCAAAAGAATTATTAGAGATTTTTTCTAATGCCAATCCTTGGAGTTGAATGAGGATTTTTGTTTAAATTTTGTAGAAGGCAATAAATAATATGGGATTTTTTACCACCTCAATCAATTTTTATCTTAGTTGCCTTTAATGAAGATCTACTTAATAGTAAGTAATAACAATTCTTACTTAGGTGCATATAAATAATATGAAAATTGAAGAAATACTCTTCACCACTTGTTGTGATGCTACATCCACTAATTTGGCCTAGGAGATGTATCTTGTCTTTGATTAGCCATGTTAATTTCATAGGAAGAAGGGCCGGTGATACTAAGGCCCAACTTTTCCATAGTTTATATGGGCATTATATTTAATCTACTACCCCTATCCACAATTGTGTAAGAGATGATCTTGTCAACTATTGATACTTCTAATTCTATTGCCTTGACTTCCTATACTCCTTGAATTGTTTTTATATGGAGTTGGATTTTTGCGTTAGACCTTTTTCATCTTTTAATAAGTAGGCTTGTTTTTAAAACCCTTCTCAATATTAGAGAAACCTCTAATAATTGAGAAATAGTTATTTTAGCCTTAATTTTATTCAAGTTTTTTCATAAATCATAAGATTTTTTTTATTCTTCAATTTTTAAGGAAAATGAAGTATTATATTTTGATTTAGAAATCCTAAGATCTTTTGATTCTTTTGTAGAAGGAAATTCCTCCATATGAATTTTTTTCTTTATTATTTAGGATTTCTAAAGGAAATTAGATTCAAAATTTGAGAGAAGTATTTTTGACTTCTTTATATTGTCCATTGCCTCTTTTGTGACTTTGTTTAGATTAAAGAAGTAAAGAGAATCCTCTGAGCTATTCTCACTATCTATTAAGATAGAAGGGAGAGGAATAGTATATCTACATCTTGTCATAACTGCCAAGGCCGGAATATTAGGAAGTTCTTTATCCTTATTAAAATTTTGTTCATAGAAAATGTAATTTGTCTAAGAAGATGATGGCTGATTTCTAATAAGTTGAGAATCTTATTCCTTAGATGGTATTTCTAAGAATATTTTAATAGTTTTTTTTTTTTTTTTTTTTTTTTTTTTTCCAATGTGAAAAATATAAAGGTAAAATTTATAGTTTTTATTTTTGGTTAAACTTTCTAATATGTAAAATATAATTTAGACATAATTGCATGCTTTAAGGATATAAATAATAGTATATGTGCATTAAATTTTTTAGTATCATTAGTTATTTAAATAAATAAATTTTAATTTATTTATTTTATATTGTTATAAATACATATCTAATATTAAAAATTGAACATTATTTAAAATTTTCTTTAGCACTTAAATGTTAATACTAAATGGTTGAAAATATAAATATTACCTTAAAAGATCTGATGTATTTAGTTCAATTAGATAAATTACAGCTCTATTTGTATTATAAAAAAAACATCCTACATTATACATTCAATTTTAAAATAATGATAATTGTTTTTAAAACAACTACATGTTTGATGCTATATATTTATTGCATCAAATTATTGAATGTATAAAATTTTATTAAAAATTGATGTCTGGCAAGACAAAAATATTTAAATTTCTAAAATTAATTTGCCAATTATACCATGCATAATATGATACCTAGGAACTTATCAATTTAAGCAAATTGTTATTAAAAATATTTGCACATAATTCATATGTACATAAAATGTTTATTAGTTTCATAAATGAAATTAATTTTTTTAATCTTAATCTTAAAAATAGAGGTTGTCAATGTGGAAAATTAGGTTTTAATGATAAAAAAGTGTCTAAAATAAAAATCTAATTTTTAAAATTTTATGTAGGAATCTAATAATTTATTCTAATAATCTAAATATAAACCCTAGTAGTCTAAAATATAAAATCCTGTTATCCAATGATTAACCTAAATATTAATTATTTAATTATGTAACCCTAAATATTAGATTTTGAATTAAATGAGTGCTTTATTATATTCTGGATTGGAATTTAGTCTAGAGTTACTTCCTTAGCTATTACAATATGGTTTTGAATTAGGTTCTAAATGTTGCTCATATTCATCTCCAAATCTCAACATTAATATAATACTTAGCAATGTTTAGCAATTTGTTGGAATATTATTAGTTGCTCAGCTTCCCAGACTGCGTGGCGAAAGCCTGTGAAATCAGAACAGAGTTTCTATGCTTTCATAGAAACGTAGGAGGCGCGAGGGGCACCGCAGGCTTGTGCAACACCCACTTCGGATACCTATCGAATCATGTGTCGGCAGGTGTGACAGATCACATTATCACAATTAGTTTTAACTCACATGCAACCACAGAACCATGAGAAATATTTTTGGTGCTTATGAAGCGTAGGTGTGAAAAGAATTGCCGGCTCCTTCTCCGAAAGCGCATTAAATTCGTTCGGCACAACAGAGTGTTGGTCCTTGTTTCATCTACGAGAATCGCTTTCATCAAGGGGATGCATTCATTAGTTTTATAAAAACACAGCAAATATCGTGGACTACCAATTCATCCTAGTTGATGAATGCTAGAGTTTTAGTGAGGCACCACTTCCCCGACCCCTGGATGGCGAACAGAAGTACGAGAGTAACACTAAATAGCGGCTCCCATCCACTGGATCTTACAACATTTGATACATTGGGGAGTGCAAGTCCAACGGTCGAGAGAGTAGGGCGGGAATAGTGGCTCGTGAGCTCTGTTTTGAACGATGAGCCAAGTGCTTTTGCCGTTGAGTCGAATTTGCGAAGCCGTCGACTGGAGCGAGATTGTGTTAGCGCCGCTCTGGTAATCTAGTCAGAAGGGTTCGTGTTATGGCTTGATTCTTGAATTGGCGCGATCATTAGGTTTTTAGCGTCGAGGACGTTGGTGTGATCCATGTCGGAGGTGCATGCAGGTCAGCCTTCTTCATACTACACCTCGGTGAGTTCGGGATTTGGGAGCGCAATTTCGTAGGAGCTTGAAGTATTTTCGCTTTTCGAGTGCTTTGAGCACCGAGGCGTTGCGTTTTTTTGAAGATTTGAATACCTACAGCATAGTTAGTGTTGGATTTGGCAATCCGATTGTGGGATGGACCCAGATAGTATGGAGAAGGGGGATGAGCCGAAGCTGCCCGAATTGAAGCTAGGTACATGAATTTTTCCTCGCATTGGTAATCTTTGACACTGAATGAGTGACGGTGTAGTTTTCGGACCGGAACGGTGCTTGAAAGGAAGATATCTAAGAAGAGAAGGGGTTTTTCAGGTTTTGGACGTAGCAGCTAGTTACATTTGAAAATTGGCGAGGCAATTCGTCCAATGCCTGTGTCTAAGATTACCGGAAGTGTGAGGAAACTTCAATCACTTGCCAACAGGACCGTGGAGAGTAGATCTAAGTCTAACGACTGTGCCCTATCTTGTGGATGTCGTATGCAGATGTTAAGCAAGCACAGGGGTTCATTTCTTTCTTCCGCAGGCTTCCCGAGGTTTGTATTTGTTCTACCCGATATCTCATGAAGAAATTCGTTGGTAGTTCCCTCATGTTGTGGGACAAGGCATCCTATCTGCGACATCTTAAACCCCTTCAGTATGCAGCTCGAAGTGTTCAAAGAGCTTGCGTCTGCGTAGAACATAAAGAGACTACCTCATATCACACACGAGATCTCTGTACTCCTTTCGCAGAAAAAAGAACACAATGCGTAAGATTTGTTCGTCATTTCAATGCCTTACTTAGCAAGGCATTTCAGTGATCCGAATGGCTTGATATGTTGGAATTATGTGTCTTACAGCTGGATTGATGTCCTGCTTGATGCTTATGCAGAACGAGCAAGCTGTGCGCTTCTTTGACCGCAAGGTGAAACTAGAATTAGCCCTTGCTAGCTTTTGTTATATGCCCAATATTTGTTCTTGCGTGCCGGAGCTTCTCATAGTGGGCTGTTAAAAAAATTCTTTAAAGAGCGTAGAAATACGTGTTTCCACTGAATTAATTATTCTATCACTGCATCTATCTTGAGTATTTTTGTAGGTCTCTTATGGGTGTCACTAAGTCCTTAATATTATCCGTGGTTATCCGATGTATTCTGTACCACAGGATTATTTCACTGCTCATGGTGATAATGCAACCTTCATTGCCAGTACGTACTATAGGACGCTCACAGTTCTCAGGCAGCTGGGGAGCGGGGCTGATTCTCTCCCTGGTGTGACCATCAACAAAAGCATGTTTGAGACTATTGTGAGGGATCTCTTGCTAGAAAGAACTGATTGCACTGTTGAACTCTATGAGGGCACCGGATCTAAGTGGCAACTTGTTAGGAGCGGGTCTCCTGGCAAGCTTGGCAGCTTTGAAGAGGTCCTGTTCGCAAGCAATGAGATGCAGGTATAGTCGAAAAAATTTGGAATGTCTGGAATGTCTACCGAAGCTATGGAGAAACTGGACACTGTTAGGATGAGATTGTCTTTGAAACGCATGCATTTGGTTACTCTGTGAAGCATTCGAGTTAATTTTCCATTCTGAAGTTGTGTTATTTCAAATTATCTGGTTCACTGTACTTACAACCTCCCTCTTCAATACTCAGGAAACTCCTGTAGTCATGGCTGTAAATATTACTACACGTCAAAGCGAGCGGTGTGTTGGGATAGCATTCGTGGATATGACGAAGAGGCAGCTTGGAATGACAGAGTTCTTAGACGATGACCTATACACCAGTTTGGAGTCCGCCATGGTAGCTTTAAGCTGTCGTGAATGTATCATACCCATGCCAACCGCTGCCAAGTCCCCTGATGATCGTAAACTTCGTGATGTAATGGCACGCTGCAATGTTTTGGTTACTGAGAAGAAGAAATCTGATTTTAGGTACGCTGTACTTCTGCAGTCAACGGCCGCACTGGCATCCATAAACAATGACCATTATTATCGCAGAAATGCTTGTGACAATGGTTTGTGTGCGTCGGCTGGTTATACTTCAGAACCCTCTCCGACCTGATTCTGGGCTTGTGCAGGTCGCGAGATGTAGAACAAGATTTAGGCCGATTAGTCAAAGGTCCTGCTGAGCAACATAAAGAACTGGTGGCAGCATCTGATTTAGCGGCTGCTGCTCTTGCCGCGCTTCTGACATATACTGAACTCCTCTCTGATGACACAAATTATGGAAAATACGTCATTCAGCCCTACAGTCTGGACCTCTACATGCGATTGGATGCAGCAGCTTTACGAGCTCTCAATGTCACTGAGAGCAAAACGGATTCTAACAAGCATTTTAGTCTGTTTGGTTTGATGAACCGGACTTGCACCCAAGGTATGGGAAAAAGATTGCTGAACCGGTGGTTGAAACAACCCCTAGTGGATGTTGTTGAGATAACCAAAAGGCTGGATACAGTGCAAGCGTTTGTGGAGGATCTAGAATTAAGGCAGGACTTGCGGTCTCACCTACGGCGAATGCCTGACATTGAGCGCTTGGTTAGCAAGCTTGAGAAGCGCAAAGCGGGATTGCAAGATGTTGTGAGATTGTATCAGGTGAATCGCATGTGACGTGTTATTGATCTCTTGTTATTTTACAATTAAGCCTACAAAGGAGTAAACAAGATGTCATGGCTTATTGTGTGGTTTTCATCCATCTTTATGGTAGATATGCTCTCCGCTATATGGTTAATCACACGATTTCTATTGAAATTTTGATGCTTTAGGTTCCTTGTGTCCCAAGTCGTGGGTGGAATTACAAGGTAGTCGCGAACTTCAGAATCATAATTGTTCTCAAATTTGTCATCAGATCTCAGAGGTATTTTAAAGCGAGATATTATTGTTTGCAGGCCAGTTTGAGGCTGCCTTTGATTCGAACCTGCCTGGAGAAGTATGACGGAGAGTTTTCCAAGGATTTGCAAGAGAAATACGGCACCCATCTTGATGTATGGACACAGCCAAATCATCTAGGAAAATTTGATGGATTAGTCGAGGCAGCTGTCGATCTTGAACAGCTCCAGAATGGAGAGTATATAATTTCAGCAGATTATGACAACAGTCTTCAAGAGCTCAAAACTGGGCGCGACGATGTGGAAAGGCAGATACTTAAAGTTCACCAGCAGTCAGCAGATGACCTGGGGCTTCCTGCGGAAAAGTCATTGAAGTTGGATAAGAGTACACAGTATGGACATGTTTTTAGGATTACTAAGAAGGAAGAGCCGAAGGTTAGGAAAAAATTGAATAGTCAATACATAACCTTGGAAACTAGGAAAGACGGCATAAAGTTCACGAATGCCAAGCTGCGAAGGTTGAGTGAACAGTACACAAAGCTCACAGAGGAATACTCGAGTGCACAGCGAGAGCTTGTTGCAAAGGTTGTGGATGTTGCAGCAACATTTGTTGAGGCAAGTTTCTCTACTGTTTACATTAGTCTTACTTGTATTTCATAATGTATGTTTTCTTCGATACCAATTCCCCTACATAGTCTTCCCAAGCACTCGACGCCTTAATCATGCAGATATTCTTTCCTGTTTTTGAGTGTGTCATATTAAACATGCATCTCTGTCCATTCCCTTCCAGATTTTCTCAGGAGTTGCAGTTCTTCTGGCTGATATGGATGTACTTCTTAGCTTTGCTGACTTAGCTTCCTGCAGTCCCGTACCTTACGTCAGGCCCTCAATCACTTCTGCTGTAAGCTACTCTTGACACTGAAACCACTTAATGTGTATATAGCTTATTGTGCTGGAAACCACGCCAAAGTCAAGATTGTGGTTTTTTTCTGTGAATGTTAGTCCGTATTCAGTCCTTAAAGTTACTATTTGTAAACAAGGCATTCTTTCCAACTTGAGACTATGCAGATGACGTGGGCCATTTTGATTTCAGGATGAAGGTGACATAATTCTGGAAGGAAGTCGGCATCCATGTGTAGAAGCCCAGGATGACGTCAATTTCATTTCCAACGATTGTCGATTGGTATAGTGGAGTAGAAATCACAATCTTCTCTTTGGCTTTTGAATTCCTTTACCTGTTTAGCTTAGTTTCAGTGTTGAATTTGAATTGTTGAACTTCTAGGTTTATCGTCTATTCTTCAGTTTACTAACTACTCTTATAAACAGAACTTTGGAGAAATAATTTTGTCACTTGTTTCTCTCAGGTGCGAGGCAAGAGCTGGTTTCAGATTATCACAGGACCCAATATGGGTGGAAAGTCCACCTTCATTAGACAGGTGAAGTTTATCACCTTTTTTTCTACTTGTTTCCTTCGAAAAAGTGGATGGGAGGATAGAAACCGCAATTGCTGCTGCAAATGGACCTAAGCCCTCATTAAGATTTGATGTTCCGTGGAACTAATCACTGACACGGTTAGTGATTGTCCGGATGGACTTGTTGTTTGGCTGTGTAATTTCACCGTGTGGAAGTACTTGCCTGCATCTAGCAGATTTATTTGGTCGTGACAAGGTCATGATATATCGTCATTCAGCTGGGACTGACTTATGGCACACTGGCCTTCGTTGTCAATTTTTAAGTAGCATTCTTGATGTTGCTTGATGTCTCATCTTCAGGTTGGTGTGAACGTGTTAATGGCTCAAGTTGGATGCTTTGTACCATGCGACCGAGCAGAGATCAGTGTGCGTGATTGCATCTTTGCGCGTGTTGGTGCTGGAGATTGCCAGGTACTAATATACGCATGCTCTCTTAGTGCGTATCAGCGCCACTCTGCGAAACTTCTGGGTGTTTCGTCTATTTAGAACTGCGCCAGATTTATGTTGTTAACAATCAGGATGTGAAATTGCTGTTTACGTTTTATACCTCTATTCTTTTGCAGCTACGCGGAGTGTCAACATTTATGGCTGAAATGCTGGAAACAGCCAGCATTATTAAGTCTGCTACAGAGCGTTCTTTGATCATTATTGATGAACTTGGTCGGGGTACTTCAACTTACGATGGATTTGGTTAGTTCTCTTTATAACCTTTCATGGAAAGAGGTTGACCAAATACTTTTCCTTCATGTGGTTAAGCTGTAGGCTAATGGAGCTTGGGACTTGCGAGCAGGATGAGGGTTCACTGTTATCTTTTGAAATCATGTTAGTCATTAGAGTCGTCTGTTTTGTTCTGTTCTTGTCGTGAAGTTACCGAGTTCAGATGCAATGTCTTCAGGTTAACTCCATTTTTTTTATTATGACACATTCAAAGAGCATTTATATGTCGATACTATTTGTGCTAAACCATCTGAAATACAGGTTTGGCGTGGGCAATATGTGAGTACTTAGTGGAGGTCACTCGTGCACCCACTCTCTTTGCAACCCACTTTCACGAGCTAACAGCTTTAGAACATTCAAACTCTCCACCTGTCCATGGACCTCCCAGAGGTCCACTTGTAGGGATTGCCAACTATCACGTTAGTGCTCATATCGACACAAAATCACAGAAACTTGCCATGCTCTACAAGGTAATTTTTTTTTTAATGAATATATATATATATATATATATATATTAATCGTGAGTGTAGTACTGTAGGAAGTGTGCAGCAATCAGAAGTCTTGCAAATGAATAGCTTCGTTAGCTAATTAAGCGAATGTATTAAGTGGCGGAAATACTTTCAGACCTTTCTGCCCTGTCATCCACAAAAATTGCGTTGGGGTTTCTCATCTATATCGTGTTCGATTGTACAGGTTGAAGAAGGACCTTGCGACCAAAGTTTTGGTATCCATGTAGCTGAGTTTGCGCATTTTCCTGAAAGTGTTGTTGAACTCGCTAAGCAGAAAGCGGCAGAATTAGAGGATTTCTCTGATACTGGGAAGGATGTTTCAGGGGGGCTTAGTAAGGATGAGGTGCGATTTAATCTGTTCTGTTGTGTTATTCATATTCCAATAGGTGTATGTCTTGTAAATTGTGATCACTGACAGAGAGTTCTTGTTCTCTATCTTTTGACATATTCAGACATTGAGTGATACTTATATTAACAAGCGTTTGTTTTAGTGATCATTAACAAAGATAAACTGCATTCGCCGTTTGATGCTCGTTTGAGTTCTTACGCGTTGATTTTGATATTTAATAGGTTGGCACTAAGCGAAAGAGAGTAAGTGGCCCTGATGACAAGGTATTAGGAGCTGGGCGGGTGCGAAGGTTCCTTCAAGAGATGGCAGCATTGCCTGTAGACAAAATGAGTCGTGAGGAGACTTATGCCAAATTAAAGGCCTTGAAAAGTGAGTTTGACAGAGACGCCGCAACAAACTCATGGCTGCAACAGATAGTTCATTGAAAGGTTCTCTGAACGTTATGTACATTTGATCTAGAGACAAACATGTTTTATTTATGAATATATCTTCCTTGTGAGGTGAAGTAAATGATGATGAAATGTGAAGTAATTTTTTTGATCCGTAGCTTTGACAAAATACTTATCTGTCTGGACGAAACGCAGTCTTCAAGCTGTTGTATTGTTCGACTTATTGATAAAGAGGGAAACTAATGATTCACACAATCGTAAAGATTTGGCATCATATGGGATTCCATTTCTTCATCTACCCGTTGTTACTGTTACACATGTTGGAAAGGAAACATGTATGTGGACATATGTTGTTGGTTTTGACAAACGCTATAAGTGTAACATATACGTTACACTTTGGTTAATTTCAGAAATTTATGTCACTTGAATCAGGAATCATGAATAATCTTATTAGAACTAAATATCGATCGATGTTCAAATTTTGTATCTGTACTTCAGCTTTTCTCATTTAAGTTTTATTATTATTTTTTTGCATTACAGTTATTTTCAATATAGGAAGGTGCATTGATAAACCAGTCACTATTGATAGAAGAGAACACATTCTTTTACCTCTGACACAGGAGAAAATTTTCTTTTACAATTGGACATGTCAATTTTGAAGTTAGATTCAAGATTAGCATCTTCTATTCAAATACTTGAGATGTATCTAAGAGTAGTTTTGATAGACAATACTATTCATGCCATGTAGGAAAAAAAAACACACACACACACACACACACACACATTCCACCTCATCATTTTTTTTTCTTCTTCTTTTAATTTTAGGGCCTTTGAACTTATTTTTCTAAGTATAAATCCAATTCAAAGAGATTTCTCGATTTCACCAATCAAAACATTTAAAGATTAAGGCCTTCCACCTTGCCTCCTAAGTATAAAAGTGGCTCTAAAATTCACAATTCATTATATATATATATATATAGAATATGTTATGCAAAAAACGATATTTTTAAGCCAAAAAGAGTACGTACTTGGTTTTTTATTACCAAAATTAGAATCTCCAAATTTTACATTGACCAATTTCTGCATTTGTTTGAATTCTGTTTCTTCAAAAATTCAGAAGCCAGAACTGAGAAAGTTTAAATCTCAACAACATATCATTCTTTATAATCATTCATTCCAAAGGAGCTCGTCTCATAAACAAAGTGCATAGCTCCCGCATCACATTTCATTCAAGAAACTACCACAAAAAGTTAAAAATCAATAAGAAATTTAGTGAATGGAATGTTTTTATGGGATGACCTTGTAAGCTCAGAAATTTTGGTTGTTACGAGCTGCCCGTCAATAACCCTAGTTAGTCTACGAGTCACCATCAACAAACACCACGGTGGAGCTTGGCCGATCAATCCGGAATCGTCTTCAATGGAACCCTAGAATTCTAGAAAGATCGTGCCCTGATGTTGAAGCGGATCGTCAGGTGTCCAGTCAGGTGTCCAAAATGCGCTCAATTCCGGTGGGTACCGAAGGTGATGGCGGATTCGCAATTGGAGACCTAATTGAAGCATCGTTCGTAAGCATCATTCCGTGAGGATTGCGGGGGATCAATGTGGTGGGTGATTCGACGGAAAGATGTTGGGCGAATTCTGATCCTCGGTGCGCAGAGAATCTAGCGCGTGGTTTAGCTTAGAGGTCGAACGAGGGACCGTGGGTCTCGATCGAGGTGTTCCGAGACTGGATCGAGAGGGAGGTTTTTGGAGTAGCGTTTTCATGGAAGCAGGAGGAAATTGTAGGGGTAGACTATGAGAGACAAGGTTGGATCGCAGTGGAGAAGAAATGAGGGGTAGTGTAATGGCTATCTTACTGCTTCCTGTCTCGAGAGGTCTCCACCGCTGGCTTCCGAATCATGTCTTGCTTCGCCGGTACGTTCTAGTCCCAAATTTCAGGTTTTGATCCTTCACACTCCTTCCTCCTGCTTGAATCGTCCATCTACAACGCGGTGGGTGTGACAAGTGTTACTCGTGAATTTGTATTTTTTCCTTTTTCTTTTTAGCTTCGGTGTATTCCCTGTTGTTGCAATGGAGTTGGTCAAACGAGTCAATTGATTTGGGTGAAATTAAGGAAGTTTTGTTCGTACAAACCTGGCGATTCATCGCTGTTGTCAGTGCAACCGTTTTGAGAAACGTTGGTCGGGACAGGAGCCTTCATGGGGTTAGCGGGCATGCGCATGGGGACAGGGGCGGGCTTGGCAACGTTGCCACCGAAAGGCCCGCTTCATACATCAAAGCCTGTGACGTAGATCAAATTCAGGTTCTCGTCTTTTCATCTCTCTATTTCATTGCAGGGTACATTCGGAAACCGTTTCGAGAGGGAGGCAGTCGGAGATGATTTAGTGAAAGGCTTAATTGAAAGTCCAGGATTTAGGGTTTAGGGTTTAAGGATAGGGAATTTTGAGATGTACTTTTATTATTGTGCTCAAGCAGTTTTTATAAGTTGGAGACGATACAGGTTTTCCTTTTGAGTAATCTGTGGGCTGTTTATTCCACAGCAGTTTCTTCTGGGACCACGCTGGGGTTTACGGATGAAACCCTTCGGGACCCAAGGCTTGTCAATGTCTGCAGAGATCGATGAGCAGACAGTTGACGAGGGCGAAGACGTTGGAACGAACAGTGCAGGCGAACAGCCTGTAATGGAGTATCTGCAATCACGGGGGATCGATATTGTGGCCTTGGAGGAAATGGAATTCGAATTACCGAAGTCAAAGTCTATAATCAAGGAACGTCTTGATTACCTGCAGAACGTGATTGGCTTGACTATCAAGGATATTAACGATTACCCACTCATGATTGGGTGTAGTGTGAGGAAAAATCTAAGTCCCGTTGTGCAGTATCTTCAGTCGCTTAAGGTGACGAAGAATTCTCTTCCTGTAGTGGTTCGGAAGTACCCACAGGTGTTGCATTCAAGCGTTGCCATCGATTTGATCCCAAATATACGCTACATCCAAGGCCTGGGGGTGGAGCTGAAGCAGGTTGGTTCTGTTTTGACTCGGTTCCCTCAAGTTTTAGGGTATAGAATAGAGGGAACCATGAGCACTTCCGTTGCGTACCTAGTGATGATTGGCGTGGACAAGCGTCAAATAGGGCCGGTACTGACAGAGAAGCCGGAAATAATGGGCATGCGCGTGTCCAATAACCTCCGACCGAAAGTGGAATTTATTGTCAGCTGTGGAATTCCTCACCTCGTTGTGGGGAAGATGATTGAGAATCGGCCTTACATTTTGGATTATGATGTTGATCTTAAGATGCGACCTGCCGTAGATGCGCTTCTTGAGTTAGGTGTTCGAAAGGAGGCTCTTCCACTGATGCTCGTGCAGTACCCAGAGCTGTTGGGAATGAAGATCAAAGATAAAGTGGAGGCGAAGCTCCCGTGGCTTACTGCAAAAGTTGGTGTTCGCAGAGAGGATACAGCTGCAATCCTTGAAAAGCTACCACAGATCCTTGTCATAAATGTTCCTACTGCTACTAAGCGAGTTCATGCTTTGAGAGACCTGGGATTGACAAAGGACGAGGTCGCTCAGATGATAGTAATTTGTCCTCAGTTACTTGGTTTGAGCATTGAGAAACACATATCTCCCAATGGCGAGTTCTTGGTTAAGGAGATGGGGCGGGACATAAAAGAACTGCTGGAGTTTCCTGCATTTTTGACTTACGATCTTGAATTAAGGATTCGCCCTAGGTTTGTAAAGATTAAAGAGAAGGGCGTTAATTGTCCTTTAGCATGGATGCTCAATTGCAGCGATGCCAAATTTGAAGATAGGTTGAACGGGGGTTATACTCCCGAATTGAAAGTTGAAGTGGATGCAACTTTTGACACTGTAGGCCGTCTGCGTGTCCATCAGGTGCCGAAGTCTCAAGACCAAAGCCTATCATTTAAGTCGATAATTTAAAAGTTTCGCAGGTTGAACATACGTCAGCTGCTCGTATTTATTAGATTAGCTACAGCCTAGGGCATATGACAAGAGTGACGTCATGAATCGTACCAATAGTAAGATGATGTTCTTCCTTGCCAATCATTAAGCAACCTTGCGACAATATCTTTGCAACTATCAGAATTTGCTGTTCTGGGTGTCAGAGCGCCTCTAATATTTACTTGTTCTCAATACAGCCGGCTTCCTCATAGTGCCACACCCCAAGCCGCTTGACAAGCAAGTAAATTTGGCCAGTGGCATGAGAATACCATAATCTACTCGTCGAAAATGATCACGCAAAGTGGATGCTTCGGGTACCAGGTAAACCTGAACGCAAGCGCTCCAACTGCCCAACTTGTGAATAGTTCACATTCAAGTTAACCTGCGATGTGTCACAAGCAGTGTTGATGGGTAAAATGTTCATTTGCAGTCCCTAACAGCCAGAAATTGTTAATTAATACCTGCAAATTACCGCGTAGAGGTGCCCTTTCAGGGAATTAAAACTTGGAAGACAACATACACCCCGTTCGAAACATTTCTGCCGTCATCACAAATAATCCGTCGTCTAAAGAAAGAGACAAAAATTGGTAATCAACTTTTAACTTGCAAATACTTCACGAAATTTCAACAGTGACAGCAGAAAAAATCTGGACAAATCTGCATGGTCAGTGTACTTTTCAATCTCTAAATTCGTGACCAAACACGAGATAATAAAACATGCATGTATTCGGAATTAAGGGTTACTCACTTTAGGACCATAGTTCTGAATGAACCACTCAGACACATTCGGGTCATTAGCTTCGAACATTATCTTCTCCAGTCCCAAGCGCTCAATAATCTTAGCCACGAGGTCAGTGTGGCAGTTGTTCGTACTGTTGGTGAGGCCATCTGAATTGACCATGATCATATCTGCTCCTGCCTCTAAATAACGCTCAGCCCGTCGTATTACCCAATCAAGATCTACTTTACCTGCATGAATTCCGAACACTGGAATGTCATCGACTCGCTTTATGTGATCACTATAGAGCCTTCGACAGCTCAGTGCATTGCAGTGATCGATAATACTAAGGGAATCTCATCAAATCCAACAACTGCACTAAATTCTTCAGTGGCATGGTGTTGTAAACATCAGTATGAACAAAGAGTGTTAAAAATTAGAGAAAGACAAAAGATTCATTCATTGAAATTAAATAAAGCGTTATTATGCAAAAAAAAAAATTTAAAAAAAATTTAAAAAAAAAACACAAAAGGTAAAACTGCCATCAATCTTCACATTAAAAATAAAAATGCACATAAACGATACAGCACACAGACAGGGGAAAACGAATTACCAGACGAAGCAAGTTCAGCATTTTCTCCACCAAAGAAAGAAAGCCCAAGCTCGGGTTTAGGCCTCATTCCTGAATTTTTCACCAAGCGTATTAAACGAAGTAGATTATCTTCATTAAGCTCAATGAAGCTAGCGTTCAGCTCTATCGAATCAAATCCAAGTTCCTTGCAGTCCTGGTCACAAAATATATTAGTTTTAATAGAGTAAGCAAGTGAACGGTCAACATTTTGTTGAGCTAATACATCCAAACTAAGTAGTTGAATGTGCCAAAATCACACCCTCTAATCCAAAAGAGTGTGAGACGAACATGAAGGATTATGGCTATCCTAGTAAGCATGTAAAGATAGAACTGAGAGCGTACTTGCACATACTGTTTGAAACTCCCCGGACCTTTGCGGAGAATGTGCTCTGCCCAACCACCAGTACTCACATACACATCGTGGTCATGAGCCTGGCGGATCAATTGCTTCAAGATGTCTCTAGCCATCAGGCTCATACAGCCTCCAGAGAATTTAAGGCCGTCAATGTATTCTCCCATGCTTTCGAACAGATTCTGCATCACACATGCGGCAAGCCGACATTATAACAGAAGATCATGCTCCAGAAAATCAGACCAAAAGCATAGAGGAGACTCAAGTGAACAAAAACGTTCCCAAGTAGAATAGGAATTGTCCTCCTTCAATCCACGACTCGGAGAATTGAAAAACTAGAAGGTAACTTTTCATACCCCAACGCAATGTGCAGAAAAAAAATGAAATAATTGATCCCTTCTCATATCGGAAAAAGCCAAGGCGTCAAAGAAAAAACAACGAATAACTACGACTTGAAATAAGTGGCTGACATAATGTTAGGCATAGATTTACTGTACCAAATCAAGGTAATTAAGACGTAGAATTGGTTATGGATAGACATAGACCTGCAAGTGTTCGGGTCCAGTGACAGAGTGATGCGGTCCATGAATCTCTGTTATTCCATACAGTCGCGGTTTTACAGACCTTCTATTGCTAGCGCTTAAGATTTGACCATTTTTTATCATCCGCTTACGGTCCTCTATGCGTTCACTGAACAGGAGATTACAATCAGTGAAGGTTCTAACGCAATTCTGATTGAATGACCAATTCACAAGATTTGTTGACAAAATTTTAGGCACTCCGCAAATGCCATCCTAACATTTGGCACACAATGAAAACAACAATCAGCCACTGCATACGATTCATGTTTAGACGTACCTTAGAAGAATAAGCTTTTCCTCCATCTTATTCAATTCGAGCAACCCTTCAATTAACCCTTCCCTGTATAGCCAAAGGAGATCGACTATACGTTATTCTGCTTGAGCAGAAAATATGATCTGCAGTACAACCAGTAATGGACACATGTAAGCACAACTCACCTGCTCACGAATCGAACTCATTGATGATGCTTACACAACTTCTCTCAAGTTTTTACATTTGTCGGCCGATGCCATCGTCACTAACAAAACGAGTGACTCCTACTGATCATATTATCATAACCTGGCATAATTGAGGCTAGGTTAGGATTATATGATTAGGAGAGGCCTGTAATATGGTTCAGCCATGGATCTCATGAGACAGCCACCTTCGCAAGTACAGGTACCTGCTAACCATGTGCCGTCGATCTTGTCGCTGAGAAAACATACTACAGAAAAATCTCATCTTCAGTTTGCAACCATTAACATCCTTACAAGAGTCTCTTACAAAATTCAGCGCCCAGGAATAATATGAAGATGGCCTAGATGAATACATTGATCATACCATTTCAATTCACCTTTGATCGCCAATCATGCACATCGCAAGCAGATGCGATCTACAATTTGAGAGAACTTCTGGAATAACAAATATTATTCTCAAATTCGAGTGTCCGAAATACTAGAATGTCTGAACAATTGAACTGTGCGAAATTCGACCACACTGCAGTGATCATGACCGCTTATCGCCTTCCTCGATGATCCAAGGCAAGAATCATCCTCCAAAGCCTGATACAGATGAACAACAAGACACTTACAATGTGCGGCAAGAACTAAAGGCACGAGGACAACGTGACGAGTGTTGCAGGCGTGCTACAGGAACGGGCAGGCGTTTCAATTCAGAGGGCAGCTCACTTCAGGCCACGCTCACTCTGCAAGCACTACGAACAAAGAAAGGCCTCGAATCGATTTCCACCAAAGGACCATCGCCAAGCCACTCACATTCAAACCGGATTAACGCTCTCACCCTTAAGCCAAATCCGACGAGAGAAACAAAATCACGTTGCATTGTGTTTACAAGCTCTCAGAACGACACCTTCAAAGCGATGCTTCTCTTTCGGTTCGAGAAACTACTAGAATTTTCCTGTAGCGTCAATTTGAACAAAAGCTCCAATAAAACTCACGCTAGAAGGTGCGAGTTGATAAGCAGGAAAATATATTTCCACCTGCCCAAAATCACATGCGTGGAATTAACCCATAGACTTCCCTATTAAAACCCTAGCTGCCCGAACAGAAAATTTTTCCTCAGAACACGATGAATGACGACCCTCATTCATCCACCCCATCCGAACGGGCAATAAAGAGTGGGACATATCTGCTGATGTGGCATGGAAGGGCTCTCCTCCTCTGTGAACTAGATATTCCAGTCCATGCCTTGAGGAGCTGCCCCTTCAGGAACTAGCCCATCTGTTACCCTAATTTGTTTTGACGCTGCTCGTACTTAGAGTATGTGCAAATAGTGTAGGTTTCGACGATTGTGGGGGTTTCGCAGGGAGCTTCTTCGGATGTGGAGGGTGTCCTCGAGGCTTAACTTACCACTCCCCCCCCCGCCCCGAAACATAGATGCTTGACTGTGTGAACGTAGTGAATTGTCCGAGTGTGTGGACTTTTGCTCGGAGCTCGGATTATTGTGCTTGGGAGACTTTTAGGCAATTGTGTAGCAGAGAAATGGCGATGGACATCGTTGCTTCGTTGTGTGTTGAATTGTTGCTAGGGTCACGAAGCTGAATGTAGATAGATAGATAGATAGATAGATTGTGCGTGTGTTTGGTTTGGAGTTACATTTGTATTCTGTGGTGTGGTATTTGTGTCACGGTAGCAGAGGGTTGTATGTTATTCAATCGCGAGGGTATGATTGCGGGGTGATAGCCAATTCACAATGGTACAGTAGTTCTTCGCGAGCCTCTTTGGGAGATGAGTGCTTCATTGTGGGGGAGGAAGTTGTGGATTGCGATTAGGTGTCTACTCTCTTTCATGAATTTTGTTTTGTCTATCTCCATTTGAATGTGGTGTGAAGGTCTTGCCGATCTCAAACATTTTCGGATACGGCTGAAACAGTTTAGGTAGCCGCTTTTTAGGTGAAGTTTTTCCATGGCGTCCTCCTCAAATGATGAGTTCACCTTGTATTACGAAGAGACTCCCTCTGTTATCGACGTCTCCGTGTCACAAATTCAATCCAAGTCGATTTACCCTTCGTTCTCGCAAGCCGCAGAGACTTGGTATGGTTTAGTGCCTCATACGAAAGTTAAGTATAGCTGGAGCGAACCCCATTGTGCAAAGAGTAAACGAAACAGAAGAGGAGGTGACTTATTTTTTGCTAGGGTTTCTGTATTCCAAAGCCTTGAATCGTGGCAGGAAGGAGGTTTTGGCGAGTTTGTTAGGGAGAGCAATCGCCGAATGAATCAAGTTTTCAGGTTCGTCGCTCCAATCCATTCTCCTATTGTTTCATCTTTTTGAAATAATTATGTCACCTTTTTGGAATGGGCTTGACTAGGCGGTAACATCTGCAATCAGCATTGTCTCGTCGTCACCAATTTTGGTGGCCCCACTCGTAAATATCGAGATTGAGATCAAATGTGCTTTTCTTATGCACTTGGTCTGTATCCGGAATTGTTGACTGTGATGATTGATCTTTTCCAGGTGCATGACAATTGTAGGAAGTAGCGCTGGCCGGATGGTTAAACTGCCTCTGCTCGAAAGGGCTGGTATCAGTGCTTTGGCTGGTGGCATAGCTGGAGGCTTCACGAATGCAACGCTGCACCCGATTGATACCGTTAAGACGAAGTTGCAAACTAGGGGTGCTTCAAAATTGTACTCTGGTCCTCTTGACGTTGTCTCTAAGGTGAGCAAGGAATCCTTCAATCATTCTTCTGTGGTTCTCTGCAATTCCATTGGCCATAATGCGGGGGATTGTTGAAGGGTTACAAAAGAACTTAGTGATGTGAATAAGGTTATTTTTTTGGTTTGGTACTAGTAAAAATGGAGTGAGGAGCCAAGGAGTCATAGTTAAACACTAAGACACTCTTCCGTGCATGGTTGATCTGGAACGGCTATCTTCATAATTGTCTTCGTGTACATATCCTTCAGCTTTGCGATACCTGTTTTTATTGAATCGATTTTCTACGATTCCTTGACTGAATACATTACATTAAAATATTACTGATGCAAACAAATATTAACACGCACATTTTTCCAGGTAATTGCAAAGCAAGGCATTGCAGGTCTTTACAGTGGAGTCCAGGCGGCTTTTGTGGGTTCCATAATTTCTTCCTCTATCTACTTTGGGACCTATGAACTAGGAAAGGGTGTCTTCACGTCAATAGGCAATTGCCCTAAAACCCTCGTTCCTCCTCTAGCAGCAGCTCTTGGAAACATAACTTCTTCAGCAATTCTAGTGCCGAAGGAAGTTGTGAAGCAGCGCCTGCAAGCTGGAATGGTCGGTTCAGAATTGGACGTATTTCTGCAAACTATTCGGACGGAGGGTATTGGAGGTTTATACGCGGGATATTCGGCTGCGTTGTTAAGAAACTTGCCATCGAATATTATCAGCTTCTCTACTTTTGTGAGTCTGATTTCTAGGAGTATTCTGCTTCTTTCTTTTGCTACGTGTGTAAATTGAGGTCACGATGGTGGGCTTGTAGCTAGCCAGTGAGTCTTGGTGCTCATACTACGCGTGGTATGTTTCAGGAATATTTGAAACTCGCCTGGTTGAAAGACAGTGAAAAGACAACTCTAGAACCATGGCAAAGTGTGATTTCAGGAGCAGCAGCTGGAGCATTGTCCGCCTCTTTAACGACTCCATTGGATGTGGCTAAGACTCGATTGATGACTCAGGCTCGTAAATCAGTCACTAGTGCTGGCCTTTCTGGAGTTCGTGCAGAAGCAGCTGCTCGTGCACAAGCTATAGCTGCGTACACTTATACAGGCGTCGCTTCCACTTTGCATCAAATATGGGTGGAGGAGGGAGCGCTCGGACTGACGCAGGGAATGGGACCTCGGTTATTTTACAGTGCGTGTTTTTCAGCACTTGGATTTTTCGCATTTGAAACCACGAGGGTCATTATACTTAAAAAATATTTGGAGGACAGAGCTGCAACTGAAAACGTTGATGTTAGAATCCTTAGAAGTTGATGCACGTTTTCTGCTCTCATAGCAGATTTGTAATATTAGCGGTGTACGTGCACTTCTCCAATCTCTCCAATTTGTTAGTGGGATAATTGGTCCGTTCACGGGGCGAGCTAATTAGTGACGTTTCCAGATCCAAAGTGCTGCACGTGCATTGGGTGCACCTAAGTTGAAGTGTGTAACCATGCATGGCTTCACTCTGCGAGTTTTCTCTTTCTCGTGATTAGTCCCTTTCGGAATGAGTGGTTAATGCAATTTCGCTTCTGAGCACACATACGAGGACTGCCATGAGAATGTTTTTGAGTGTATCTTGGTTTAAAGTATTTAATGCAATTCAAAGACTCTGGAGCTCATCTCGTGTCTAATCGTTATTTTATTTTTTAAAACTAAAGCCTCAGATAATTTATAATTTCGTCGAAATGTGACCACGATGCATTCCAATAGCAGGAGGCGTCATCTGTGTCATCATCTTCATTTCTCATGGTTTGTTGTGACTTCTCGAGGTTGATAATATAATCCACTGTCGCCCAGCTGACAATTCAGCGCTTTGCTTGTCGAAACAGATACTTTTGAAGCAGTGCTGGAAGATGTGTAACCTGGCGGTCATTGGGGTTATTGAATTAAAGCATTTATAACATCAGTAAGTTGAGTTACCATGACGGGAGATTGTGCCGAAGGTATTTTCAGAAGCAATCTTGTTTTCAGGGCAATTAAAGCACCTACGCTAATTCGAAAAAGAGAACTTGTAAATCACTTAAATTCCTCTGGTTTTTGCTGAGACAATAATTTTGATGATATTGCAAGTGGTTTACATCATCCTCCAGGGGATTGGCAAGATGGATTGGACACGTTCTGCACTCTAAATAAGAGCTTGGAACTCTACAGTATGATTCAAGCTGGTGGGCATCACGTGGATTATCAAAGCTTCGACTTACGAGGGAATATAACAAGTTGTGTTGTTTCTGTGAATCAGATTACATGATTTATCCAAAAGCCTCTGCTCGGCTGGACACCTTATCAGAACCCCATGCCCAATTTGCATGTAGTTCATACGTGCTATTTGTGTGCTCCTGGATTCTTTCTCGGATTGATGCACCCAAATTGTGCTAGTTGGAATTCCTGTTCAACATGTAAAGTTATCTCATGTGCACTTTGGCGAGTACGAGAATATTCATCATAATTTATCACGATGACACAAAAATTACGCTGTTCCAAAATGCTACTACTTTTGCAGAGCTGAATTGCAGAGCAGAGCTCTTCATATGGAGCAAGTCCAAACAAGGCCTGAGAGTTATCGTAAGCTCAGCCTTCCTTTCAGACCGGGATTCCGTTGTCGTCTGAGAGAGTGCTGGTATCAACACTTCACTGCACCACGTCATTAGACGTTGCAATATGGAACTTACAAGGACCGAACAATCGCAGTCTGCACAAGTGAAGGAGACAGAGATTGAAAATCTGTTTATCATCCAGCAGCAGTACGAATAAAATTAAACCCAACAACAACCCATGGCAGGAATCAAACAAAAAATATTACTGTGACATTGTAATTGCAACCGAGTACTCTCCAACTGAGCTCTCCCCCAGCCCAGAGGGTAGGGAGCTTCCGGGTGGACCGGCATCTCCAACCCACAACAATCGCACAGACAGGCAGACGCGTAGGCATTCATCATCTGTCAGATCACACATCTTCAAGCTCTGACACACCATCTTGGATCCCAATATCGTGGCGCGCAGTGCAGCTTAAAATAATCGAATTGTGATCCGTATGTTTGGATGATTGGAGGGGTGGATAATGTCCGAGGAGGACTGGCATTGCCAATTCAATCGAGTGGGAAGCCAACTCTACGAACATCGAATCATCAACCTTCCAGACCAAAACCACAGAAGGGACACACGCATGTTGTGCCGTTCTCGCAGAATACGCGGGAGGCTCCGAGATTATGGTGAAATCTACCACTCTGTCAAGTGGCTTTTAATAGTGAACACGAGAATGCACGAGCACGATGAAGCTCCGAAGAGGACCGCCGCTCAGGAGGAGAAAGCTTCGAGAGAAATTGCAAGGCAAACACCAGTGTTCAGAGTAGGATTTTTGCTCAATCGTAAGTGAAGAGAGGGAGAGGAACACCCGATCCACCCTGACTGCCTTGAGCGTTTACCGCGGAAAAAGGGACACTTTGGTAGTGCAGAGTAATTTTAGGGTTAGTGAGTGCAGTAGGTTCTGACCCCACTAGCAAAAGGGAGAAGTGGGATGTTTCTCACCCAACAACAATCGCTTAACTCGGGGGGTGGTTTACAATCAAGATGGCAACATATGCAGAAGTGCTAAAGGCAAGGTTGGCCCATGCCCTAGTAGATCCTACTGCGTCAGAAGCGAGTCGGAGGGTGGAACTTGCAAGGAATGGAGATTGCATGGAACCGAAACTAATTGTTACCACAGCAAACCTAGGTAAGTATGTTGCCTTTAACTCAATTCGTGCAATACTAGGAGAGCAGTTACCCGAAGGCTTAGTCAGGAGTTATACAAGGTTCTTATTCAATACTCAAATTGTAGAGGTTCAGTTTGATGAGGAAAAAATCAAGAAAGAAATGGACTATCTTCAGAAGTGCGTAGTAATAGTTTATTTTGTGGGAGGTAAACCCGCAAACAAAGCCTTACAAGTATGATTGTAAGGCTTTAAAACAGAGGCAGGCGAAGATTTGCATTTAGGTTGTGACTCAATTCACAACTTCTTTTAAGTAGTGTACCTAAATGAAATAGCTTCACAGAACTCACTCATCCAAAATCCATATCTTTTCCAATGGAAAACAAGCATAATTCAGTCATAGGTGGCTGGATTCAACCCAAGTCATGTGATCGGCATAAAAATGCCAACATGAATAATTCTTAAAGGACTTTCAAACGAGTTAGCAAGCAGTGTTAGAGAAATGGCGCAAAACATCAGAATGGTATTAAGATGCAATCAAAATAACAAAACAAGTGGAGATCAGAAATTTTGTATTGCTTTAACCAATGGCAACTTGTATGTGCTTACTATTGATGCCTTCAACCCGGTTACAAAAACAACAACTTGTATATAGGTGGATTACAATAATTTGCATATCAATTGTAGATTTTGTTTATCCATCCGGCACCTAGTTTGAGACTGCCTTTTAGTATATAGCCACTATCAAAAGGTAAGAAGTGAATATCAAGCACATAAGGAGCCAAATACCAAATCATTCCTAAAGACACAAGCTTGACCAAACTTACAAATAATTGATAATCAAATAGTTGGCTTAGACATTGTAAAGTGACACAAAGGGTTATACTTACATTGGGCTCTATAGTCAGCTCAAGTAGGTTAGTAATAGAATAAAGAGGCAACTTTATCATGGCAGAATTAAACCAAGGGAGATAAGGTCAACACAACAAATTTGCATCAACAAAGTCTAGAGTGGATTACTTAGCTTAACAGGGAATAAGTGAAGAAATAAGAATCGTTATCCAATACATTGGAGTTTTTGGATATTAATGAATTAAATGAGGTATGTAATGAATGGATACATCAAATGGCAAACAAGATCCAAATTATGGGAAAGATTGTTGAGAAACAAGTTGGAAAAGATGTCCAAATGGACTTGATATCACTGAGAGGTTCAAAGGACAAATAAGCCAAAGCAGAGACCAAAATTAGAATCTAGAAGAAAAAATCTGTTGTAGCATATAAAAAAGTGAAAATAAATAAAAAAAGATATAATAGTGGATTTCATGGGTAGTGATGTTGATGGAGAGGCATAATTAAACTCCCATTTAGCTCCAATTCATATAGACTGGATGGAAGGAGATATCAGCATTGAAGAATTGGGTGCAAGTAATGGCAAAATAAGCTTGGTATGCGATATGATGGATACTCACTAAGATGAAGGAAGCAACTTCTTCTTGTATTAACTAGATATTGATTTAAATTGAAGCAATCCATGACATTTAAGATCTCTATGGGTGAATTGTAAAATCATGATAAATATAAGATGAACCTCATATATGGCTAGTGAAGGAGGAAGAGAAGCAAGGTCAAAAGGAACTCTATAGTCCATAGAAGTTCCTACAAAAATCATATGCAAAGTATTAAAAGATAATAGACAACTTACTATGTATCTAACTCCATTATTCTAAGATTGATTACATAGCTAAAATTTGATGGTTGACATGATATAATCCACGATACAAGTATAGTTGTCTAGCACATCAATAATATAAAGAAATCAAAAAATATTTTCTTCAAAATGGCCCAAAGACACTCAAAGAATATTTTTTTCCATCAATTGAATCATAAGAGTAGCCATTTTTATATAAAACATACAAGGTATGAACAACTCGACTAAGATCAAAACTATTCAAAATTATCTACAAGAGCACTAATATAAAGTTGATATTTATTATATTTGAAAATATAAGCTTTAGGGGTTGAATTTGGAGATACTAAAAAGGGAGTTTTGGCCAAGATCAGCTTTTTTTGGGCAAGAAACTATGGTTGCATACAATCATTTGGCCAACAAAGAGAGATAAGGGAACAAAAGAGTTGGATTATAGATCGCCGCCCATTTCTTGTATTTTATTGAGTCTTTAGATTTTTTAAAATCAACGAGGATTCATTGAATATATCTCTAAGGCTTATTAAGTAATAACATCAAGATTTTGAATCTATATGCCTTATATATAGTACAAGAATAAATAAAATTATTTTCACAATTGATTAAAGTTCTACCAAGCAACTGCAAGTAGGTGCTTACAGATAACTAGAATAATGTAAAAAAAGAATATACTCTTGAAAGAAGAACAATGAATGTTTAATAGTGTTATATCTTTGCTGTAAGTCTTAAATAGCTTTTCAAAAGTCCATTCCTTATGTTTTAGTTTAGATAATAGGTGCTAAGGGGCAGACTCAGCTATAGTATATTTCAATAGTATATATGTATTCTTCTAACTGGATGTTAGTACTACCACCGTGAAGTACTTGATTCTTGCTAATAACATCTATTTGAACCATCTTGTAGTTTGAAGGCAAATCCATTTGCAACAAGTAGCATAGAAGAAGTTCTAATATGTGACAAGCACCCAATACTTACCCTTGAAAGAAGTCCAAAGAAAAATTAAGCAGATTTAGCATTCTTACTTATTTTATTTATTTATTTGTTTAAAAATAAAAAATATATACAATATTACAAACTATTTTATATTTACAAGGTGGCAAAATGTTGAAGGAACCAAGGTCACATTTGAAGTGAATTAGACAATGTAATTGATGCACTATAGAAGTATCCAGGGAACAACATTAATCAAGGTTGGCTAATTAGCTATGCCAACATGCTATAG